AGACACTTCCTTGCTTCTGATGGAGGGTGCTGGAAGGTACACACCCTGACCTAGAGCAGGGAGGTGCGTGCAGCTGGAACCTTTGCTTCCTGCCCCTTCCTCTTATTTACTCAAGGGAAATGTTTTTGCTTATGCATTACTGTCCCTGTCAGGTTTTGTCTGAATCTCAAACGGACCCACGGCTTGCTTTCTGCCCACATCACTGGGGTCTGGAGTCTGCTTGCATAGGCTCTGATGGCCACCACCCGTAGTCCCTGAAGTCACACCACAGCTGGAAACCTGGGCATGGTGGAGCACACCTACGCCATGCAAACGGTTCAACAGTAGTGCTTAATTTCTGCTGTTTTGTTGTTATTTTTGTGGTACTGGGAGTGGAACCCAGAGCTTTCACACTGAAATACATCCCCCTACTCAAGTGTTTTTTATCTTGAGACAAAGTCTTGCCAAATGGCTAAAGTTTCCAGACTTGGGTAGAACTTGCCATTCTTCTGCCTCAGCCTCCCAGAATGCTGGGATTAACAGGTAGGCATGACTGTGCCAGGCTTTCCTTGCTGTTATATACTCACCAGCACCCTATTGTTCTCCAGGATTGGTCTCACGACCTGGCAGACCTAGTGTAAAATAAAAACGCCGTGTCTCTTGTTCAGAAATTGAGACTGTCAAGACAGACAGCAGAGCCTTGACCCGAGTATGGATCCTTCTGAGCATGGGCCTTGTGAGACTTCTGTGTCATGTGCCTGCTGGTCCATTCACTTATCCACTTTGGTCTCCCCAGCAGAATTCTAAGTAGGTAGAGGCCAGTCTATTGTTCCTGGTGTCTCCAGGGACTGGCCACAGTCGATGCCCATCAATGAGCCATCCATGGTTGTTGAGTAAGAGGCCTCCCAAGTCTGGTGGGGCCAACTGTCCCCAGCTTCACCAACACCAATGAGCAGGAGGACTAGTTTTTGTGGCTTCTCAGCTGATGGCAGAATCTTGTGACCTTCAGCTCCAGAGGTTTCGCTGGAACTGCAACAACCCAGCATGCAGGAATAGAGGTCAAGGAAAACCAGTAAATCAAGACAGATGGCAAGGCTGAGGTCGTCCCTTCACTCAGTGTCTCCTGGTGCCCATGGCATAGAAGCCCAGGGACAGGGCTGACAAGAGCAGAGAAACAGGTCATACCCGCCACACTCTGGGATCACTGGCACTGTGACTTTCTCCTTTGCTCAAGGTCCCAGGAATCAGCAGATCCCAGGCAGTGTCGTGCATGGTTCATGGTTCTAAGATGGGAGGAAGTCCCAGAGCACCCTCACCATGGCATCTTGTCCCCTTGTCTGTGGTCGCTCTCTCCTACGCTGACCGTGCTGGGAAGTTTCTGAGAGGCAGGACTGCATCTCTCTCCTTCTACCCCAGGTCTCAGTGCCAAAGGTGGCCTGGCACCAACTGGGTAGTCTGTGTGCTGCAGGACAAAGTGGTGAGTACAGAAAGGAAGGAGGCAGTGTGGAGAAGGAAATGCAGGTCAGCTCCAATCTGCTGGCAGGGGCAAGGAAAGGGGCAGCAAATAGGTCCTGGGCATGAGCAGGAACCAACTTCCCCTCTCCATCCATCGACTCTGATCTCCCTAGATGTGTTCCAGGATTTCAGTTGAATTAGCTCCACCCTCAAACCCTGGCAGAGACCATGATTGAGGCTACAGCCAGGGCTTGCATAGCGAGTGAAGTCTGGGCCACATACATCTTTGGGAGAAGAAAGCATCAGGTGGATTATAAAATGGGAATAGTAGAGTTGGCTGCAAAATTGGTGGTCTGTTTTAAATGTTTAAAGCAAAATGATACTTTTTACATATACAAATGGGATACAATATGATGGTGCTTTCATAAGGTAGTCACAGGATCTATACAGATAATACTAATTTCTACAGCATGTCAAGTCCCTAGTAACAAGGGACCAGTTTCCAGTTGTAAATTTTTATCCAGAAGGATGTGTTTATAACATCATCCTGAAACAAGCCTTTGGTGATACTGAGGACCCCAGTGAACAGGTCCCCATCATTCTCTCGGTACCCCTGGCTTTACCAGAGGGCACTCAAGGAGAGCCGAATGTTACTGAGAATTTCCCCAAAACTTGGATTCTTTTTCCCCAGAAAGAGCCAATTAGGACAATAGAGAACAATTAGATTGACATGTGTCTACTCAGTGGCCAGTGAAAGTAGGAAGCTGGAGTCTAACCTTTAAATTGAGCCCCCTCCTGCCCCAATGAGCGAAGGAAGGAAGATCAGGTAGACTACAGGGACAGTGCAGGAACCAGCAGACAGGTGAATGAGCAGAATATTATGATTCTTCCAGAAGCATCCCATTTTGTGGCCACGCCCCTCCCCAACAACATCTGACCATATTCAGTTTGTGTCTGGGTTGCCAAAGAAACTGTAAACCGTCATGGTGCCAGTGTGAAGGAACTTTACTATGGAAATGCAGTACAATGAGATGGGAATGAGGCTGAAGAACAAACACTGGCTAAGATGGCATACAAACCAGCTGAAACCAGTTTGGCCTTGCCCAAGCTAACCTTTGTTTTGCAGACCCCTTGGTCACAAGTCGTTTTTCTGTAGAGTCAAGTTGTGCCTTATGACTGCCTGTAGCTGGGCACACCCAGTGCACATGCTTATCAGGGGCACTCGGGTCTCGGGCAGGGAGAGGGACATAGCATAAAGTCCTTCCGCAGGCTCTCTCTGTCAGAGATTAGTGACATGCACCAAGGCGGTTCTGAAGTGTCAAGTGCCAGGGGAACCAGGGCAGTGCCAGCCTTAAAGGAGGCCAAGTCATCAAAAAGTAAATAACAACGTTAGAAAAGTGTGGGATGTAGCTAAGGCTTTATACAGAGGCAAATTTATAGCTTTCAATACATTTGCTAGAAAAAAAGAAACAGTGGATAAGCCAACTCTCAAAATTCAAGAAGAGAACACGAATGACCTTAGCCCAAAGAAATCTGGAATACAAAAATTGTAAAGATTAACGTAAACAGGAAATATAAAACATCACAGTTGAGGAAACAGGCTCAAAAAGGCAGAATAAATTGTTGTGGACTTCAGTGCCTAAGCTTTAGGGGCTCATCCTCCATAGGGTCCAATCCTTGAGCCCTGGGGTGTTTAGTGGAGTGTTCAGAGAAGGGTCTCCTGTTTCAACAGTCTAAGTGTCCTGGTGGCTTCTGGGCCACCTTCTGGTTGCAAGGAGGAAGGGATGTATATTATGGACAAACTTATACCAACTGCCACTGACAGAAGCATCCCATCCAAACAGCAGTGCAGTATTCACTGCTGTACATGGAGGAAATGTTTCCAACACAGTCACAAAATAAACCCCAATCAATTTAAAAGAATTTCAATTATGCAGAGAATTTTGTCTCACTATGATGAAATACATTTAGAAATTAACACTAGGGACAGCACTATTTACCTAGAACCTGAAAGAGTAAACAGTTAAGAGGAAGCATGGGGATGGAGCTCAGGGACAAAGTGCCTGCCCGGCAAGCACAAGGCCCTGAGTTCAATTCCCAGGGCCAAAAATACAACCTAAAACAAAAACGGTTCAGGGGAGAATATTAGCAGATATATTTGAAAGCTCTGATGCAGGGAACAAACTTTTTGAAAGACAAGAAGGATCCAAGTCTCTGGACCTGAGCCTCCTTTGCATGGAAGACACTGAATTGGTTAGAACCTTCCCAGTAACTGCAGGCTTGAATAGCTTCACTGCTGAATTTTAACCAGCACTGAAGGTAGAAGTACTATCAGTTTTACACATTGTCATAAGAATTTGAATAGAAAAATTTCTCAATTTATGAGGTCACTGTTGTGATTATTCAGAACGGACACAAGTATCACAGAGATAATCTATACATCAATACCCTTGAAAAGAACAGACAACAATGTTCTTAAAACTTAAACAATGGAAAGAAAGGCTTGTGGTTCACCACACCTCTTAGAGCATCACTGAAAAACACTAACTAAAGAGATTTCCACAGTAGTGACAGTGAATTATCATCTGAATTATTCAAGGTGATAAAAGCTTAAATTCAACAGAATGATCAGTACATTTACAAAATACACTACTACAAAATTACCTGAGCTTAAAAAAGACATGATACACAATGTAGATGAGTGACTTAGCAAGGAATTTGAGTCCACAAATGGTACCAAACAGAAATCCAAGAGAATTAAATTTGTATCCAAAGTGTGGGCAACAGAAATGACCACAAGGACAGAGCCCTGGAGTTAGAAGACAGGGCTGGTGTCAGTGCCCAAATACTCAGGGACACCTTACAAAATTGCAACATGGACAGTAGATCCAACAGCTATTAGATGGTGCACAGACAACTAACTAGAATAAGTGAAAAACCACAAGACAGCACATATGGTATAAAAATCTGTGACAGAAACAATAGCAGAAAACTTTCTGAATATGGGGAAGTAACTTGACATACAGATAAGAAAGACAGATGAAACCCCAAGTAGCCACAATCAGAAAAGGATCTCCCCATGACATATGACAGTCAATACCTGGGAAGTCCAAGGTGAGAACAGAATCTTATAACCTCATAAAGAAAAGCAAGGAATCACTTATAAATGTAAAACCATTAGAAATACAGCACACTTTTCAACACAAACCGTTAAGACCAGGAGAGCTTGGAGTGAGGTATTTCAACACATAAAAGAAAGCAACATCCAACCCAGGTGATATATCCTACAAAACTCTCTTTCAAAACCACTCTGCAGGACTTCAGGGCAACCACTTCCCTCGCTGGAGCCCAGCCAGTCCTGTCTGAAACACACTGTGGATGGCCTGGCTGCAAGGCCTCTCTAGCTTCCCTGGCCTTGAAACTTTCAGATTGTTGGACACTGTTAGTGTAGAAACAGGAGAAGTGACTGGGAGGCCCTGGCTTAGAGGGGCAGTGATCTCAGTGCCCAGGGATTTCCCTGAACTCTCAGAGGATGAGCAGGAGTTCTCCCAGGGCCTGCCACATGTATGACCGTCCTGATGTTCACCTCAGAGACAGAATACTGAACTCCAGTTGCAGGAGGTGTGTTGCCTCCCAGGATTTGGCAACTGTAGATAGAGAGCTTGTCTGCATGGCAGGATGTAGGTGAAACCTCCAGAGGAGTCTTCAAGGTTAGATGATGACACTGTGAACAGCATCCCTGCAAACTTTCCTGGTCTTGACTATTTCAGGAGCATAACACTAACTTTGTCATAAAGGTGCAGAAACATAGGTTTACCAGACACACACTCATTCTTTAGAATATTTCTATTGATGAGTTATTAACTTTACTTTTATAAGTGTTGTTATATTACACAGTGGCTTACCAGGAAAAAAAACAAAAAAATATAAAGTATTGAATTTTTAATATTTATTGAGTGTTTATAATAAAGCATCAAAATTTAAAACATCAACAATTTTTGGCATAAAGTCTACAAAAAATAACAAAAATATTCCTATACAAATTACACTGAAAATACCAACAGCAATTTACAAAAAAGTAATCTTCACTTCAATTATCACATCTAAATCAGTCTGTGCACATGACCACAGCGTATTCCATAGACACATAATACTCACACTGGGAGCACACGTTTTGCTGTCCTACTCTTTTTGTAGGATGTACTTGATATCTCAATGGTTTTGCTGTTTTGTCAAGGTTATTGTGCTATAGAGTGTGTAGCCAACAGGAACATAAAATATCAAAAGAAGTTCTTAAATTCTTACTGTGTGTTGTGCCTTTAGAATACACATCAATGGGGCTGGGGGTTTAGCTCATCACCATAAGCACCTGCCTTGCAAGTAGGCAGTCATGAGTTCAATCCCCGGTACCGATAAAAAAATGAAAAAGACAAAAAAAAAAAAAAAAAAGAATACACATCAATATATTTTCACATCAAAGATAACATCAAAAATAGAAACCTACGTGAACTGCAATGTAAACAGAGACAAAAATCTACCACATAAATAAGCTTTGCTTCAACTGTCATATCCAAAGCAGTCTTTGCACTTGTCATACCCAAGGCAGTCTTGCATGTTCCATACACGAGGGACACTTCCACTGATAGCATGTTTTGTTTTCCTGTATTTTCTTGTAGGACACAGTTGAGATCTTTTTGTTTTCCTCTTATCATTGTGGATCTAGGAAGCTGTGTGTGCCTATTCACCTGTCAGCTCACCAGTGCACTCCACAGTACTTCACATAATTCACTGACAAGAAAAGCTGGATTTTTCTCTGCTGTAAATAATCTCATATGAACTGTAGCCCCAAACCATAAGAACATTTCTGTTCATAACATCATCTGGTTTATTATTCTATGAATAAACACCTTGTGGCTAAGTTCAAGGCTAAATGTCTAAATTGAAAGCATAAAAAGTCCTCACATGCACAAGGGCATGCATTATGCCATAGTTGACCCATCATTTTCCATGAGGCCTTTACATTCCTGCAATCACTATGAGAAATCCCTCCTAAGCACACAGATCCATAAATGCTTTCAGTTCAGCACCATGTCATAAAACATTTTTGAATATGGCTAATGGTGCATAGAGAACACTTTACTTGAATTTTAACCTCTATATTTCACAGAATCTTGTAACATTTCATGTGTTAAAATTTCCAACTTTGAATAGCAGTATCAGCATTCGTCCAATACATTTCACTCTTGCCAAGTCCCTCACTATATTTTTGGACTTAGTATTAACATTAGATCATTTCATTTGGTTATGTGGCCATTTTGCAACATTTTCACTAGTCAAATATGTATTCACATTGTTTTGTCATCTTAACAAAGGAGGTCGGTATCAGTATCAGTTGATCTTTGCTCCACTTCACTGTCCCAGGAAGTTTGACTCACATGGCCAATTTCAAAGTCCTCTTCCTCCTCTTCATCGACATCCATCCATCCACAACACTCTTCTGTTATGAAAGTGTTTTGTCATAATGGATCATCTTCATCATTCATGCATGAGTAATCTGATGATTCATTCACTTGTGACCTCCTCCAAGATATAGTTTTCACATGCCATTGTACAGAACTGGGCTATTTCCACCAGAAAAATCAAAAGAAAGCTTTTAAAAAGACAAATCCTGGAGTAATGGGGGATTATTGAACCCTCTTTGATGCTTGAATAAACACACAAAAGCAGGTAGATGGAGCACAACGTGGGTGAAAATCCCATTTTGAGACTTTTGTACTTGCTCACACACCTCATTGTTTGACCCAGCAAGTGGATAATCACATAAACTGCTTTCCAGTGTCCCTCAGGGGAAGGTAGTGACATGCCCAGCTGGCTATTGCAGTAAAGTAAAATTTACTGGTACAGGATAGGCCTGCTGCATGTGGTTATGTTGCTACCTACACTCTAATATGTCCCTGTGTCTCCTGAAACCTTTTCTTAACCAAAGACCCACTCCAACAGTAGAGTGGCCAACTCTTCTGTATTTGGCACAGAGGACTTTTACTTTGTACTTTTTCTACCTTCTTGCTTTGCATCTAATTGGGTGAGGTTTCCCATCTCGTCTCCCAGTCTCTGCTTTTGATTGGGAAGACACTGCCCCTTCATTAGAAGGGAATTAGAGCTTGCAAGAGTTTGCCTCTGTCAGGTGGCTGTTTCATGAGCCTTGCAGCATCTTGTCCTTGCTCTTTTTCATCTTCTTCTTCTTTATTTTTTAAAATTTTATTTTATTTTATGTTTTTCGTATCAGAGATCAAACTCAGGACCTCACACTTGCCAGACAGATCTTATGCTGCTGAGTTAAATCCCTGGCCTAAAAAGAGGATAAAACCAAGGAAAACAAAACAGAACAAAACCGATCAAGATAAACCAGTATAAGTGATACAGGTCTTTAAAGCTTAGAAAATCAGCAATAGTTACCATAATGCCTCTATCATCTTCAAAATAGCTGCAGATACCTTTGGACCTGGTAAAAATCAAACAACAGAATAGAGCAGAAACAACAAACACAAAACAATGACTGCAGTAAAGGACTTCAAAACAAGCTCACAGTAAGTCCAGAATGGCTACCATAACACGTCTTGCTATCTTTTGAACAGTTGTTCATGGCTGCAGATTTAATATAATCAAACAAAATGAAAGAATAAAACCCAACCAACAAAGCAATGAAAATGACATGGTTTCCAGGCAGGGCCCACCCCCTTGTGAGGCCTGGTTCTCGCTCCACAGTCTGCGAATGCTGCTGACTGGGAGAGAGGCTTGGGCGTGGCTGTCCCCACTCCAGGAGCAGCTGTCCTGCTCTTCTGCAGGAGCCATTCGTTTTGGAGTCAATGGGCTCGTCACCTGTGTAAAAGCTATTTATGTTTTCTTTGAGGATGCCGTGGATATAACTTTGAAAATCCCAAGGCCACCCCAGGGTGGTGTGAATCCGTGGCAGTTAAACATAGCCATATACAGGATGCTGCCCCACATCTGGGGAGTGAGTTTGTAGTTTCCTCCACGTATGCCACAATGTGTCTCAGGAAATACAGTACTACAGGGTGCATTGTTTTCTTTTCAATATGTGAGCCTCTAACATGTAGAATACAAAACCAGTCCTGATTTTCATGAAGGTCCACGTATTCAGCTTTAACAGACTTTTCTTCAGACTTGAGTTCCTGCAAAAAAATTCTCCTTTGTGAGCCAGGGTCTTGCTCTGTAGCCCAGGCTGGCCTTGAACTCACAGTGATCATCTTGCCTCAGCCTCCTGAGTGCTGGATCACAGGCATGTGGGACCACAGCTGGTTCTTTCATTTCAACCTAAGGGACTCCTCTACCCAAGGCAGGCCTAGTAGGAAGGACGGACATTCTTCAGTGCTTGCATCTAGGAATGTCTGAGTTTTCCCCCTCATTTTAAGGACAGTTTTGCTGGATGTAAAATGCTTAGTTGAGAGCGCTTTTTGTTTTGTTTCACTGTTTCATTCACACAGCACATGTCCATCTGTTTCCTTCTGTCCTCCTGTAACAGAATATCCCGCACCCCAGTCAGTATACTGCAGTTTCTTAGTTGTCCAGGTAACAGTTCTGACTCTAAGAAACGGCTGGTCACTGTGATGTCTAGCTGGTCACTGTGATGCACACTGCATAAACCAGCCCCAATCAACAAGCCATTTTGCCCCTGTACTCCCCACTTGCTTATCCTATACAGGCCCCAGACCATCAGAGATCAGGGCCTGATATTCTGGGAATGTACCAATCAGTGCCCGTTGGTGTAAATAAATGTGTCTCCAACTCTTGGGTGTCCTTTCTGTGACTGTGCTTGCCGCTGCTCTCCAAGGATTTTGAGGATAAGTCTAATGACTATGTTTTTGGGGAATTGCTGTCAGCTGCACAGGCATTAATTTATTTGTCATATTTTATACACTGACCGTTACGTTATTCTAATGTAAGTGAAGTTGCAGCATCACTTTGACACCAGTAAGAATTAAGAGCAAAAGGAACTGGAGATGCTGAGTGTAGACATCATGGGATCTCTAAATGTAAGAGGTATTACAGATGCTGAGAACAGATTCTCAGAACAGAAACAAAAGGGATATTGAAGCATCCTACAGGTTTGAATTTCAAAAACTCAAGTGTCAATCTCCATAACTCACATTAGTAAGACATTTTGTAACATTTTTCTGTTAGAAACAAAAGACCCTCATGGCCAAGAGTGTGAGGGGTGAAGTGGAGGTGACCAGCTCTGCCTGGGCCCACTGGCACCATGACTTCACAAGATCCCCTGTGAGGTCACAGCAGATAGCTGTATAAGGTAGGGTTTTCAGCCCAGAGACCCTTTGTGGGTGAAGTGGAGTGGTGTTTGGAGAGTAGTTGGTGATTTGAGATTCGAAATTTTGATAATTGATTTTATAAAGTCTAGTTCCATCAAGGCATCCTTTGTGGCGTGTGAAACATCTTTGCTGGACGTCATGTCATCGTCCACAGGAACATTCTTTGAGGACTATGACATGCTTTTCCCCCTTGGTGCGGGTCACTTTGCCAAGGTGGTTCTCACTGAACATGTGAGCACAGGGATGCTGGTAGCTGTGAAGGTACTTCAAAAGGAGAAGTTGAGGCCTACTGCTATTATACGGGAGGTCAGCATCCTAAAGGACCTTCAGCACCCCAATATCATTCAGTTGCTGGAAGTGTCAGAAAATAGTACCTGTATGTTCCTGGTGTTGGAGTATGCGTGCGGGAAAGACCTGCAGCGCTTTATCAAGTTTGCTGAGACACAGAAGCTGGGGGAGGAAAGGGCCCGGCTGATATTCCGAGAACTCCTGGAGGCTGTGCAGTACTGCCATGACAGCGGCATCATCCATGGGGACTTGAAACCGGCGAACATATTAATGGACCGTGAAGGCCACCCCAAGCTCAGCGATTTTGGCTTGGCTTTCAGGTTCCTTCCTGGCCAGGAGGTGACCGCGTGTGGATGCACCCTACAGTATGCTGCCCCAGAGTTATTCTTACAAAAGAAATACCAAGGCCCACCACTGGACATTTGGTCTTTAGGGGTAATTTTATTTGAGATGGTCGCTGGGGTACGCCCATTTAGTGGGACCAAAACAGAATTGATGAAGAATGCCCTAAAGGGGCGATACCAGTTTCCCCAGCACTTCTCCAAAGAGGTGCAAAGCTTAATTAAGGGTCTTCTCAACCCTGACCCAAGCATGCGTCCTACCTTGGAGCAAGTAAGGCAGCATCCATGGCTTCGGCTTGAATCTGTCCCTTGTCGACCTCCTCAATTGCTCCCCAAAGCCAAAGAAAGGGCAATACTGGACTTTTTGGATGGGAAGGGGTACAACCCGCTGAAGGTGATTGATGCAGTGAAGTACAGAAAATACAATCGGTACATGGCGCCCTTCCTGCTACTACGGGGCATGGCACTCCGGAAATTCCACTTCGGGTCTGAGGTGAAGCCCACACACAAACGTGAGGCTGAACATCTGTTTGAACAGTCCACAAACAAAGATGACACGTACAAAAATCTGCTATCTTCATCTCCTCCCCCTGTAGCTGCCCCACCAGCTAGGAGGGAGAGTGAGCCCTGCCTCTTCACTGGCCACTTCCTCCCCGAGGTGAAGCCTCTCGGCCAGCAAAGGAAGACAGTCTCCCTGCCAATTGACATCAGCAGGACTCCCCCTGCTCGCACATCCTGCCAGCGCAGTCCAAACTTAGTTGGTACCTCTGGCCAGCCAGGCCCCGCTAATCTCATAGCATCCCACAAACCAAGTTGTGCTGCTGCTACTACCAAGGCCTGCCAGCCCAGCCATACTACTACCATCAAGTCCTGCCAGCCAGGCCCTTCTACTCCCAAAGCATCCCGTCAACCAAGCCCTGCTTCTCCCATCAAGTCCTACCATCCAGGACCTGCTACCCCTAAAGCATCCCGTCAACCAAGCCCTGCTTCTCCCATCAAGTCCTACCATCCAGGACCTGCTACCCCTAAAGCCATCCCATCAACCAAGCCCTGCTTCTCCCATCAAGAAAATCTTCCGTGCCTCTACTAGGCCATGCTGGCAGCCCAACCCTGCCTCTCCCGGTGAGTCCTTCCAGCACAGCCCTGGGACTCCAAATGCTGCCTTCACTGCGGCCCCAGCCCCTGTCAGCAGTAGGAGGTGGGGCTGGAAAACTGTCAAGAGAACCATGAGAGACTGCCTAAGGGCCCTGTGCTGCTGCCCCGTATCGACATGCAAGTGTCACAAACACAAGGTGGTCCCAGTGTAAGTACTGCGCAGTAGAGAACCAGAGGTCACGCAAGGACTCTGAGTGGTCCGGCTGCTTCCTCAGAATGTGCTGTGTCTCGATATCATTTTCAACTGTCAGGGAAGAACTGTAGGGAGGAGAGGAGGGGAGGGAGAAGGGCAGGTGTGGGCAGAGGCCAGGTGTGGGTAGGAGGAGTTGCAGTGGGGTCTGCTGCAGAGGAGGCTGGAGTGACCACAGCCACCACTGTCTGCTGTGTTTCCCAGTGAGCGTGCATTACACATGTCTCCTTGCCTTTGTAGTGCAGATCCATGATCCCTCCTATGGATGTGGTCATCCTGACAGCGAGGTCAGCCACACAAGTGGAAGCCACAGTGAGTTGCCTTGCAGCCCTTTGTGTAGGGAGCTGGAGGGGAGAGGAGGAGTCAAGATCACTAGTGCATCCTGTGGGCGAGAAGCAGAGGGAGGGGTTGGTGCACAGCATGGGAAGGCTGCACAGGCACCAGGAGCTGAGAGCCAGTGAGAGGAAGACAGGAGGAGCAGGGGGGAGAGTCACCTGGCTTGTATCCTGCTGTCTGAGGGAGGCTGCCCCAGGGACAGGGAGGGCTGGGCACCATGGACCTGACCACAACCTCCCATGAGGATGCAGGGAGACCTGGGTCTGTGTCTGGGTGAAACTTTCCGAGTACAGCTTCAGCGTGATCCTACAGACTCGGGCCTGGGCATCTCTGAGTCTTCTGTGCTCGCCTCTCAGCAGGCCTGCGTGCAAGGCCTTTTGCCAAGAACACACCTAGTGTCACTTCGAGGATGGTGAGTCCAGGCAAAGAGAGGCAATGCCATGTGTTCCATAGGCCAGAACCTTGTGGTCAGCCCTGGTCACCACACAGAAGCCTTGACTTGTGCATGTTGTGAGCAGCCAGGGGACATGCCAAGGCTACTCTGAGCCTCCATCCACCAAATTCATGATGGGAGCCGCTGCAGCCCTGCTCCTAAGCAGGTGTGTGACATTGTCCCTAGATCCTAGGCCCAGCCATCAAGTACCCTCTTCACTCTACAAACCTTTGTGATCCCTGCAGCATTCTTTTGGGGTCCTCCCTGCCCCTAAAAAGGGTGCTGTGCTGTCCACTGCCACCGTGTGGTAGCAAGATGGAACAGCAGTGCCAAGGAAGGGCTGGGTTCCAAGGTCTTGGGAAAACTTTGTGCCCTCACCTTGGGGCTTCTGGGCCTCTTGAGAGTTTGAAGATGGGGAGAGGGGCAGGAACCCCAGAAAGCCTGACATTTCTAACAAGGTGAGTGTATGTGTGAAGGATGCAAAAGATCTGAGGCGTCTGAGCACTGCCCTGGTTTTATCCAGAGCCCTGCTCCTGGCACAAAGGAACAGCCTGAGTAGATCAAACCCTGCCTACATAAGCAGTGCTCAACCACTCTGGCCTGTTCCACACCTCTAACTTCACACTGTTTCTCTGACTTCATGGTTTTGATTCTTATTGTGCCTGGCAGTAGGGTGTGTTCTGGGAAGAGCAACTGGTCATCTACCATCACCCCCACACATCCCCATGAAGAGACATGGACCCAAACCCTGGCCTTCTGAATGCTGTCCCCAAGTCTGTGTCTGCAAGCCTTTGAAAGGAGCACATTGCCAAGTCTTGTGTCACTGAACAGAGACTAACATCCAGCCTCGAGGGCACACAGGCATGCGTGTTGTGGGGACAGAGTTTGGAACAAGAGAAATCTCCGCACATGGGGGTGTTGCTTGCCACCGTGGGAACAGTGACGTTTGGTAAAGAGAAGACATTGATGACTTCCAAACTGTGGTCTGTGTTTGCAGCATCTGGGGCAGGATCTGAACCAGAGTGTTCAGGGCAAGTTGGAACATGCACATAACACATGTCATCATGCATCTTGCTTCTGTATTTTCTCACTTTCTATTTTCGTACTTGCTTTGTGCCTTGAGGCTTGTAAATTGCTTATAGTCAGTAGCTTATTGCCAGCATTGGGACCTCTTTAGGAAATGACTACTTTTTCAGAGATGTTCTGTATGGGTAGCTGGCTTTGGAGTCTATTTTCCCAAGATTTTGCCTTTTCTTTTTTCTTTTTTCAAAACAAGAAACTATGGAATTTCTTTTTTGGTACTGGGAATCAAACTCAGGGTATTGTGGTTGCCAGGCAGGAGCTGTGCCACTGAGCTCCATCCCCAGCTCTGCCTCTTCAGTTCGGTAGGAATGAAGGGCTGTGCCTGTTTGGCCCAGCAACCAGTTCTTTGGTTTTGGACTACAGGATTGTAGACAACCGAGGTGGTGTTGTTCAAAGAAGATCAATTGATGCCAATAACTCTGTCACTTTGGCTAAAATAGTACAGTCTGCAATAACAACTGCATCCAGCACAGGCCAGGAAATGATAAGCTGTTTTGACCAAGAACATGCCTGCTTTAACCACAGGTATGAGATTTATAGTTACACAGCCAAATCTAAGGCAAAGCAGAATATTATATACAGTAAATATATATACTCAATAGAGCAATTTACCCTAAAGGGAGAAAATTTATTAGGGATACCAAGAAAATATAGAAAAATAAAAGAGAGATAAGAAGACTGAAGTACAAAGGGAGATTACCAGGCCTTAGAAAACGAGTGATAAAACAGGAGCAAAAAGCAGGACCAAAAAAGAGAGAAAAATACAAAAGCTGAGAACAATGTACACAGGCAAGAACAGGGTTGAGAAACCCTGTTTTAAGCTTTGCACCTCTTTGGAGAAGTGCTGGGGAAACTGGTGTCGCCCCTTTAGGGCATTCTTTGTCAACTGTGTTTTGCTCCTCCTGACATAGTAGGTCAGGAGTTTCACTCCCCTATATCATTTGGAGGTCTTCCACTGAGATCATTGGAAAGAGGTGAGAATTTGCTTTTGCTTCATAGACTCTCAAGTGGGACTTATTTAGGTAACAAATTTTTATGCCTCCAACTTTGCTTTTATATTTGCCAGTTACTTTTGATAATTGCTTGCTATTTGCCCGTTGTTTTAAAGTGCTTTGTCTCATATAGTTTTATTAAAATAATGTAAATCAGCTGGGCATGGTGGCTCATATCTGGAATCCCAGCACTCAGGAGGCTAGGGCAGGAGGATCCTTGTGAGTTCCAGACCAGCCTGGGCTACAAAGTGAGCTCAAGGCCAGCCTGAACTGCATAGGGAGACCCTGTCTCAGACAAACAAACAAACAAACAAACAAAAAATGTAATATAAATCCAAGTTTAAACACAGGAAAATTAAAAGGTCATGATATTTCTTTAATGCTATATACTAGCAAAAAGAGCTTCCTTATGTTTGTATAATGCCAAAGTACCTGTAATGCTACCTACTGTTCTGTATGAGGACCCCCCCCACCCCCCTCTGGGTGACCTCATATGTTAATCAATACTCCCTTCTGTAAAAAATTGTAAATCCCTGGGAACCTAAGCTAATTGATATGTTAACCATTGTTGCCCTCTACAAATAACAGATGTGGTACTAAAATAAGCTGACAAAGGTTTATTAACTACTGCTAGGCTACTCTGTCCTCTGCTAAGGAAAACATTTCCTTAGCAGATTTCCTGATCCACCCCCATAACCCTTTTATAAACTGTGCTCTCTACAAAAGAGCTAGAAAGCTTTAAGGGGGACACACAGCTTTTGCAAGCTCCACCTGCACTGTGTCAGTGGGCCTAGGATAAAATAAATCAGCGCTGTTTTTTTAAAATAAAAATATGTATGCCCATTTTTGAATTCGAGTTTGGGCTTTGGAGGGCTTGTTTGTGGATTACAAGATTAAGGGGCTCACCTGGGAGTACTGGGGGACCCCTCCAAATTATTTTTTCACCGATCGATTGGCTTAACATCTGTAAGTATTTGGTTTTTTGCCTGTTTGTAATCTGAGTGTGCACATTTGTAACTGCAGATAAAATGAGACAACTTCCAGGGGCCTTTTTGCCCATTTTGTAATTTAGGGCTTTTGGGGCCCATTCGTAACTTTGGGCTTCGGCCCGTGTAGGGGTTTTTGCCCATTTGTAATTTGAATGTGCACAGTGACTGCAGACAAGCTCGCGCTTTTTCTGCACTGGATTCTGGGGGCTCTCGCCTACTTGTAATGTGTGTGGCCTATGCCCGTGTGGGGGACCTAGGCCCATGTGTATGGCCTAGACCTGTGTGGGGGACCTGGGGCTGTGTGTATGGCATAGGCCTATGTGGGGGACCTACGCCCATGTGGGGTGTTGGGGCCTGTTTGTGTTTTAGGGCCCGTTTTCACCCAGCAATCCCTGGTACTGATAAATTTTTTTTTTACTAACTTAGGGGCTTGTTGTCCATTTCTGTTGCAGGATCAATGTGGCTTATTGGACTCAAGGTTCATAACAAAAATTATTTCCTTTAGCTTGCCAAACTGGGGGCAGAAAAACCTTCATTTATATCTTTAATGTTGGTTTTATCTTTTGTGGCACCTTGTTTAATGTTTTTATCCTCAACTGATTACTTGCAACCTCGGCATGCCTTTTAAATGTATTTTTCTTTATGGTTAAAATGTGAATATATGTGCACATATATATGTATATTTATGGTTTTTAAAAATCATATTAACTTTTGCAAGTAAAAACCAGGTCATACTATAATTGAGCCAGTTAAAAAAGTTAGTTTTTAAAATGTAGCATTTTAATGTGGTGAAAAGAAATAAAATGATTACATAAGTTTTAGACTACTAAAAGAAAGTCATTTCAAGCATTTTGTTAAAGGTTTTAACAAAACCTAAAAATCAAGAGAAAAAGTAATTGACTGATAATAAATTTTAAAAAGTGGTTTTGTCTTAAAATAAAAATGTAAAAGAGAAAATGCTTTTTGTGCTATGGCTATCAAGAGCAAAGAGCTCAACAGGATGATTTGCAATATTGTGAGTTTGGGGGAGGGGAATTTCCAGGAATGCTATAGATTATAAAGACAAAGTTGAGATTTTGATTGCTTGCAAAAAAACAGAGAAAAAAAATTCATCTTCTACTACAATAAGCTGATCTAAATTTAAAAGAAATAACTATTATGCCTAATGTGACTGGTGATTATAGAGATAAAATACAAGTTCTTGCATGTGCTGTGGATATCTGGGAGATTATGCGGCACAATTACTTTTGTTACCTATGAAAAAGCCTTTTTTTGTTAAGTATGTACTTTCAGTAAAACAGTGGCCTGCCATGTGGGCAATGGCCCACCCTGGGACAAAAAAACAAAAACAAAAACAAAAAAAACAGTGTGCCATCCAGATAAAACCTGCCTCTGATCCAGAATGCCAAAACCATGTTTTCCGTTTGTCCCACCCCAATTGGACAATCAGAGGTGAGGAGGTTCCTTATGGGTATTGCCAGTTGTTCTCAGTAGCCATTAGGGCACCCCAGAAAACCTACCTTTTGCCCAAGAGAGCAGAGGTGAGGCAATTGGCTCAACAGAGACTTATTAGTCTCCCTCGGGGTTTTCTGAAAAGAGTGCAAAAGGCCTATCACATTTATACACCAGTAGTGCCTAAAAATGCAAGGGCCATTAATATTGCCTTTGTAACCCAGTCGGCCACTGATATTAAGCAAAAATTGCAAAAGTTTGAGAGATTTGAGGAAATGCCCTTCAGTCAGTTATCAGAGGTTGCTTA